ATCAGGCTCCCAGACTGCGCTGTATGCAGACAGGAGGCTGGTAAAAATAAGGACTCCAAGTACTGAGGACATGTTTATGTTGGTGTTTCCTAAGAGTCTCTCAAGTCAATATGTTTGCTTATTAATGTAGCTGATGACAAGACTCTATCTTTTTTATCACCCAATCAGAAAAATGTGGGACGGCCGTGACTGGAGCTCGTCATTGTGTTATCGTCTGAGAATATTGTGCTTTGATAGATAATGCATAGAAATGTGGTCGTTTCTAAAATAGGCTGTTGTATAAGATGGAGTTTAATTAAATGGATGCAACAGAAGCAATGTTTTAGTTTTTAACCTAATTGTTTTAATGTATACTTTCTTATATGTTAAGGCTCACACAGAAAGTGTTAAAAATCAACTTTAGTGAATGACTCAGATCCATCTGCATCCATAAAACGAACCAGATGTGTTGCTTCATTCTTCAAAGTGCCGATGCGGTGATGCTTCGGGGACAAAAGCTCTGCAGGCCAGACTCAAGTTGAACAGTTAAGGTTTTATTACAAACTTCAGCCAAAGTCAGCACCACCGAGTCACGAGGAAACCATGTTCCAATCACAGAAGATTACATGCTGTTTGGTAGGGCAATGGATAACATGTCACAACACCACATCTGGTTTTCTCCCCCCCATCATATGCATCAGACAGAGTTACTATTACATCCATGTTTTCCACCTTTGCCTATCTTTTCATGTGCTGGAGTCCATTTGTTCAGACTCAGTGCCTCCTGTCTTTGCCCGGAATATCTCCCAAGCACACCCCAAAGTCCTATTGTGTGGTCAGACACTACGCAGCTTGACCACGTCTAGAGGGCAAAGCATTATGGACTCTTTAAAAGATCATTCTCTTCCACTAAACCTAAAATGGATCATCATTGGCTGTTTTTCCTGGGATACTAACCATAAAACCTGATTTCAAATCATCACAGAAATGTATTGAGACATTATGTTGGCTTCAGTGTAGCTTCAGGTTTTTATTTATTTTCACACATAGTTGTGTCTTTATGTTGCATTTTTACATAAGAAATTGGTCATATTTATTAATTTTATTTGAATAAACATACAAGTCCTAAAACGTAAATAATAAGTGTTTAGGAAAAAAAAAAAAAAAGTAAAGCAAAGATTGTGTATCATATGAAACTAACTAGTGTTGTGTTTTTCCCAGCAGGTGTTTCTTTGTGTTCAGCTCAGGCCTCACAACTAGAATAAAGCATTTCGGTGCAAATATACAAAACAGTATCCCATAACTTGATGCTAGAATAGCAAATATCTCCACAGCTACGGTGAGATTTCCAGGAGAGCTGACATAAGCTGGGATGAAGGTGATCCAGACGGCACAGAAAATTAACATACTGAAGGTGATGTGTTTGGCCTCATTGAAGGTATCTGGCAACTTTCTGGCTAAGAAAGCAAGGACAAAACACAGCAAGGCAAGGAATCCAACGTATCCCAACACAGCCCAAAAGCCAACAGGTGATCCCAGAGCGCACTCGAGGATTATCTTCTCCTTATAATAATGCATATTTTTGTAAGGAAAGGGCGATTTTATTGTTAACCACAGGATGCAAATTATGACCTGTATAAAAGTGAAAAACAAAACAGTGAGTCTCTGCTGTGCAGGCCCAAACCATTTCATCACGTTGCTGCCTGGAAGTGTAGCTTTAAAGGCCATCAGGACCACGATTGTTTTCCCAAGAATACAAGAGATGCAGAGGACGAAGGTGATGCCAAACGCTGTGTGCCGCAGCATGCAGGACCACTCGGTGGGCTGGCCGATAAAGGTTAAAGAACACAAGAAACACAGAGACAAGGAGAACAGCAACAGGAAGCTGAGCTCAGAGTTGTTTGCCTTCACCAGTGGAGTGTCCTTATTGACTAAAAACAGTGTGGCTACTATTAAAGTTAGCAGCAAACCAAACATAGTAAAAACCACCAGTATTTTGCCCATAACCTCGGTGAAAGAAAGAAACTCAATGTTTTTGGGTAAACATGCATCTCTGTTCTGATTGGACCAATATGCTTCAGGGCACTTTTTGCAGTCGTTAGAATCTGCAACAAAAAGTGATATTATCATTCTATTTACATCAGATACATCCTAATAACATTAATAACTGACTGTATAGCAGCTAATCTGAACATGATGCACACGCTTAAGCAGGTAAAGTGTGCACGAATGCTGGTGTGAATTAGGACTGTGTTACCTGTCGTGTTGCTAAATTCTCCAACTGGACACGGCACACAGTCAAAGCAGCACGCATGCTTTCCTTTTTGAAGGACTTTATGGGTTCCTGGACCACAGCTTTCACTGCAGACTGACACAGGTAGCTTTCAACAAACAAACAAACAAACAAATAAACAAACAAAGAATGTTACTCGTGATTAAAGTTTGTTCAGATTCTCTAAGCAATATTGTATTGTCAGATTTTTACCTCTTTACCTCCTCCAGACCATATAATGGCCTCTGTGTTAAGAGAAAACCCTTTGTCAGAGGGCAGGGAGGCGTCATAGTAACCAACGGGTTTAAACAGAACGGATCCATCTGATCCACGCTGCCAGTTCACCAACTCATATCTGTTGACAGCTGCTCCAGTTTCATCAAACCACACTCTTTCTCCACTCTTAATGGTGAAGTTCACCTGCTTTAGTGCCTCCACCACCTAAAATGCAGTAGACATCACTTTTTGTCAGAATTACTTCATATATAAAGACACTCATTCCAGTCTCCAGTATTTTTATTTCATTTTCCTTACCTCCCATGGCTTGATCTCCAGAGCCTTATCACACCCTTTTTTGTCTGAACACTTCAATATGTTGTGCAGAGAATGAGCCACTGCATAGATGGCTTTGTAAATGTTAGTGGGGTATCTCAACTTCTCCAAGTCATCGTCATGACCTTTAAGCTGAAACAGATCTGGATTCTCTTTGCAGGTTCTTAAAACACTTTCTCTGTTTGTCCCGTTGCACAGGAATTCTGTTTCCCAGAAACCTCTAACCAGAAAATCCTCCAGGCCACTGATATTGGCCTTTTGCACTGCAAAGCCCAGAGCACCTCCCAGCACACTGAAGCTGGTGGGAGTCACAAGGCTGTCCGCGGTGATCCAGGCCTCCACGCCGATGAACTGCCGTCCCGTGATGTTGTGGAGACTCAGCTGCTCTAGCAGGTTATTCATTTCCACATGGGCGAGAAAGCCAACAATCACTCGAGCGGTGCTCTTTTTTATCACCTCTATCACTTTCAGGAGTTTCTCCGGCTCTGCTCTGTCGAATTTCTCCGTGTACTCCACGCAAACTCCTTCCTCTTGGGCCGCAGAAAGGAAGATGGCCATCCCATTGTTGCCGTAGTCGTTGTCGCTGTTGACTGCTCCGACCCAGGTCCAGCCAAAGTGTTTGACCAGCTGCGCAAGGGCACGGCTTTGATAGAGATCACTGACAATAGTTCGAAAGAAAGCGGGATGCTCCTTCCTACTGCTCAAACACTCGCAGGTGGCAGAATGACTTATCTGTAGACAGGTGAACAGAACAGAAAACTGCACAATAAAGAACAAAAAGACATAAAAACTGATTCGGTTCACTCTTACCACTGGAATTTGAAACGGTCCAGTTGTGCGAGAAAGGACAATGGTAGAAGAAGATTCAGACTCTCCAATAATAGCATGAACTGCTGACTGACCAGAGCAGCCGTTTCCCAAAGTCAGCTCATGGCCGTTCATCAGAGCCATCGCTGCACGCATTGAGGATAATGTCGATGCACAGTTGTCATAAATCCGATATCCGATAGAAATATTGGGAAGGAGATCCTTTTTATTGTTTATTTCCTCAATTGCAAATATCATTGTCTGGGCAAATCGAAACTCCCTTAGGTTAATACTGAAAGAAGAATAGCATAGTAAAATATTATGTTTTCTTCCGACAAGAAGATCATGTAACACATTGCTTAGAGCTCAAAATCACCTGCTACACTTATAAGCTGTTGGTCTCTCTGTAAAGAAAAATGGAGGCTGCGTGATTTTGCTGTGGATGGAAAAGGCACCTCCGATCATCACATCTCCTTCTTTAGAAAGCACAGGAAACTCTGGACTTCCCTGTATCTGGCAGAGAGAAGCTGGTTCCCCCACTGTTACACATGCTTCTATTAGCCCGACCAGAATAAGCACTGTTGTACCTGATAACATTTTCATGTGGCTGGATACAGCAAGAGCAGAGCCACCCAGATCCAGGTTTTGTTCATGAATATAACCCACACTAGGATGCCCTACCTTCCTATTGACCAATCAGACATGTGGGACGGCCCTGGTTGGATCTGACCTTTTCTTAAAAAACACACACACCAAAAACGTATTTTACCTTTAGGGACAACACATTCAAGATTTAGTTATTTATACAAAAAACAAACAAACAAACAAAAAAACGTATGACAAGTTATAAAATGCATTGTCTTTAACTGACAGAAACCTAAACGGACAAACTAACTTCACATTTACATTAATAATTCAGTCATGATTATCATCAAATTCTCATTTTATTCCATGACAGGTTTGTCAATAATCATACTGAAGAAATTTAAAGACAAATGTCAAGTGAAGAATCCTGGTCCAGGTTCTGCCTGTGCATGAGTGGGTTCTCTCCGGGTACTCCAGCTTCCTCCCACAGACCAAAATCACAACTGTCTGGTTGACTGATCTCTCTAAATTCTCATTAAGTGTGTGTGCGTGTGTGTGTAGGTGTGTGTGTGTGTGCATGTTTCATTGTTTGCCCTGTCTGTCTCTGTTGCCCTGTGATGGACTGCCAACCTATCCAGGGTGAACCTCGCCTCTCGCCCATTGACCACTGGAGATAGGCACCAGCATCTAGGCATAAGAGTGTTGGGCAATAGATGGATGGATTGATGAATATTTTTCTTCCTCACACCCAATTTGTTTCCAGGATCATTCGACGTGAGCTGGTTAAAACATACAAAAGATTATATCAGAACTTGGATCTTTTGATTTCTCTGGCTGGAAGAACACCTAAAACTCCTCTAGTTGTCTAGTAAGAGAGCCAATAGCTTGTTCCCAGATGTCATAAAAAAACGTCCTCTGGAGTAGGTAAATATTTTAGATTTTAACACTTTCACTCAGATGATTTTTCACATTAAAACACAATTATAAAAGAAAGGTTTAATTTTATCCAGCTCTGGAAAAAATTAGGAGACCACTTAAAATGATCAGTTTCTCTGATTTTACTTTTTATAAGTGTAAGGTTTTTAGTAAAGTGAACTTTGCTCTTTTATTCTATGAACTACTGAAAACATGTCTCCGAAATTCCAAGCAAACATTTAGTATTTATTTGTAGAAAATGAGAAATGGTCACAATAACGAAAAATATGCAGCACTTTCAGACCTCAAATAATGCAAATTAAAAAAAAGAGTTCATATTCATTTAGAAACAACAATACTAATGTTTTAACTCATGAATAATCATGAGGGTTTCAATGGGGTTAAGTGCAGTGGTCTTTCTTCCAGAGCTATATATTTTTTTCAGCGACTTTTTCTTTGGAGTTCAAAGGTTACAAAAAAGTTTGTCAATAACAATTGTATTTTTTCACTTGGCAGTTATTGTTAATAGCTTTTCATGGGTGCTATCCTTTTGAATAAAAATGTAGATAAATCTTATTTTAAATTCTACTAAAGCGTATTCCTATGCTCATCCACTTGCATTTACAATCATTTAAGTTGGTTTCTTTATATTATATTTCGTAGATTTCCAACAGATATATCTGATTAATGCAGTTCACATGTAGCAGATAAACATCTTTTTGTACTTGGGCCCAATAGTTTTCTAATATGGATTTCTGTCTATGTAAAATGTTTATTTCCTACTATTTTACCCAACATGTCACTTCAATTTGAAATCTGGACAGTGACAAGGGACTTAAAGTTGCACATCTGTCAACTGATCAAAATAAAAAAAAAAGTTAAACACAACTGTTACAGTAAAGCAGTGAGCCATGCGATATTTAATTTGATGTTTTTCTCTTTTACCGGCCTGAGGGACGTTTAGAGGTCATCCTATGTGCCTTTCAGTCCCTTCATTAATTAAAAAGGACATTGTTGTTTGAACATTTTATATCTATGAAACACCTTAGACCCGCTTGATTATGTCTTTTGGGAACGGATTTAGAAAAACATAAACAGTACATGTGCCTTGGGCATGGCTGTGACTTACATGCACTTTCCAATAACAAGCTTACAAACCCTCTGTAGAGTTCACGGTTCCATCCCAACAACATAATCTTCTAATAGTTTGACTTGGAAACTTTCCTTCAGAGTGGTTGCATCATAGTTTAATAATGACGACTAGAGACACTTTGTCTGTGCACAGCTGTCTTTCACTACAAAGTTGCTTTGTGATCTTGGTCAACTTGCAAAAGTTACATAATGTAAATACGTTTTTATTTATATAAACGTATTTATTATATTTATAGGGATAATTGACTTTTAAATTGTATGATGTCATTCAACCTTTGGGGTTTGAAAAAAATGTCCTTTTTATGTAGCTTCTGTAAATATCTGTTTTCAATTGAATGTTATTGAGTTGTTGAAATACTGTTGAAAGTTTAAATCAGGATTAAAAGGCCAAAAGGTGCAATTGGAAAGCCAGTCAGTTTACATATTGTATCTATGGCCTGTTGTGTTCATTTCAATGTGTAACAGCAGTTCTTCTTGATGTGGGCCAATCAAGATCCTAGCTACCAAATTAAGATGGTAAAGAAGAAAAGCCAGGCGAATTCATCCATCCCTTCCTCCGAATGTGAAACTTTCTCACCATAATTTGAGTTCAGATTTCGCATAATTATTATTCTCTAGAGATAAACTAGAGTCAGAGACAACAGATACCTCAACTTATTTGTTTAAGTACTAGCTTTCACTCTTTGGATCGTGATCTAACCTCCTGTGTCTTCATTTGCTTATTTGTAACTGGACAAACTAATATCAGTAAACCAAAAAAAAAAATAAATAAAATAAATAAATCTGGGCTTCACACAAATGTTCATTGAGATACAAGAACAATGGTCCCCAAAATGAGCAAACCCTGGTCCTACATTTTTAGGTGTCTTACTGCTACACATCTGACTAAAATAGCTGGATTAATAGGCTTCAAACTGTTATCTAGTTTATGAATAGAAATTTCTACAAGGTACCCACACTGCAGTTATGGAAATGATTTAAAAGGGACGGTGGCCTCCTCAATGCTTTAATAACTGGGTGTTGTTGTGCAGCCAGATGAGACATCTTTATTAGTTGACTTTGAAAACAACTTTTAAACTACTTTAAATGTACATGAAGTGTCCAGCTTTAAATACCTTCATATCCTTACAATAATTAAAATAGCTTACACTTTGTTTTACTTTGATAGATTCACCTGGAAGAGAAATACCATTACATGTTGATGTCATAAGGTCTTAGTAAACCTTTACTGAACAAGCATGTAGCTGTGAGGTAAGGCAAGGTAATTTTATTTATATAGCACATTTTCAGCAACAAGGCAATTCAAAGTGCTTTACATGAGTTAAAGCACTTTGTAGAGGGAAGCTGGGCTACCCTTATCCAGTCCTGTAGAATGTGGAAATTGGCTCAACAATTGTTTACAATTCCCACATCCCAGATCAGGCCAATGTGGATTTAGATAATGAGTTGAATGACACACCGTTTCAAACCAAGCATGTTTAATAACGGTGAAACAGAAATATATCATATACAATGCTGCCACCTGCTGACCTTATTGTGCTATTGCTGAAAACTGTTTGCAATTCAACTGAAAAAGTAAGGCAGGTAGGTGAATACAATAAGAAAGCACATGGCATCTCCCAAAAAAAGTTATGTGGTTAGACAGAGCATAAAAATCTAAATATATGTATTTATTGGTTGACAGTCATCCTTGAAATTAAATTCAAGAAACTGTTGAAATAGTTCAAAATAGAAGGTTTTCCCTGTGTACCTTGCCCATGGGACACATCGACATGTGGGAGGAGGAAGCTGGAATCGAACCTACAACCTTCCGATCACAAGACTACAATGGTGGACCATTGTGCTAACATAAAACTCTAGATTTTATGCTGTTGTGTTGAACGAGTAATGCATTCAAATCAGGTGAACATAGATCTAACAAGGGTTAGCTACTATGTTACAAAACAGAAGACCCTGATCAGCAGCCATCAACATATTGTGACAATTCTGACTGTGTGATAATTTACTCAAACTAAAATGGTTCATGATGGGAAAACTGTAGAGAAAATCTGCAGACAAGCCAGAGGCTGAAAACAGTGGAGGTTACAGTAGAGGTTTATGAGAGTTCCAGCTGAGTCCCACATACGATACAGTGGTTCGGCCCTGTTGCATGTATGTGAGTGGGTAGGCGGCGTATTAATGCGTGAGTGGGTTGAGCACATTTTTCTGTCCGCCACTCTATTGCCTACTACTTGTAAAGCGTTTTGACTGAAACACACTCGCATATTCACCCACAAAACAAACACTGGCAGGCTCAAATGGGAAGCAAACGTGAAAGCAAACAGAATAAAACTTAAAAAAACAGAAGGAGTGATTGTATTCAATGAGCAGGAGATTGAAAGAGTTGATTTACTGAACAGCAGTGTTAGAGTGTGAGACAAACTTTAACAGCAGACAATAACCCATGAGGGTTATTCCTTTTGGGACAATAATCCGTCTTGGATGAAGTGCATGCTGCACTGCCTGTTCACCAGCTGTGGTCCATCCAGCAAAGAACAAAGGGAAGTTTCCATCTCACTGCAGCCTTCCATGGAGCTCCAACAGTTAGAGGACAGAGGTATTATACCGACTGTGTTTGGTCTTTAGGTCACCAAACACGACAAATGTTGTCAGAGACCATGTTGCTGCTTTTGTTGCAGTTGAATGCTTTGGCAAACTCTGGGAAGTTCTGAAGGGAGCCCAGTACTCTAGAGTATACAAAGGAGACCGGTGTTAGCAAGTGGACTTTGTGTGTCAGAGGGTTCTGTACTTTAAAGTCATGAAGTGCTTATTTCTGCGCTTCGTGTTATTACCTGAACATCACTGGACTGTGTATATCCATTTTAATGGAAATAAGAGCTTGCTGTGGTCGATATGATCCACACCAAATCTTAAAGAGATATACAGGATGTAAAGTATCAGACAAGTAGAGCTTCATGAATTCAATTACAGATGCGTCAGGTATCCCACTGTATTTCTGGCACCCCATCCCAAAAGCATATCCATTTTTGCAAAAGATAAATAGAAATTCTTACATTTTCTTGAACTGCAGTGCCATGTTGTGTTTTTCTTCTATTAGTTGAGTTATCTAGACCTGNAACATAGTAAAAACCACCAGTATTTTGCCCATAACCTCGGTGAAAGAAAGAAACTCAATGTTTTTGGGTAAACATGCATCTCTGTTCTGATTGGACCAATATGCTTCAGGGCACTTTTTGCAGTCGTTAGAATCTGCAACAAAAAGTGATATTATCATTCTATTTACATCAGATACATCCTAATAACATTAATAACTGACTGTATAGCAGCTAATCTGAACATGATGCACACGCTTAAGCAGGTAAAGTGTGCACGAATGCTGGTGTGAATTAGGACTGTGTTACCTGTCGTGTTGCTAAATTCTCCAACTGGACACGGCACACAGTCAAAGCAGCACGCATGCTTTCCTTTTTGAAGGACTTTATGGGTTCCTGGACCACAGCTTTCACTGCAGACTGACACAGGTAGCTTTCAACAAACAAACAAACAAACAAATAAACAAACAAAGAATGTTACTCGTGATTAAAGTTTGTTCAGATTCTCTAAGCAATATTGTATTGTCAGATTTTTACCTCTTTACCTCCTCCAGACCATATAATGGCCTCTGTGTTAAGAGAAAACCCTTTGTCAGAGGGCAGGGAGGCGTCATAGTAACCAACGGGTTTAAACAGAACGGATCCGTCTGATCCACGCTGCCAGTTCACCAACTCATATCTGTTGACAGCTGCTCCAGTTTCATCAAACCACACTCTTTCTCCACTCTTAATGGTGAAGTTCACCTGCTTTAGTGCCTCCACCACCTAAAATGCAGTAGACATCACTTTTTGTCAGAATTACTTCATATATAAAGACACTCATTCCAGTCTCCAGTATTTTTATTTCATTTTCCTTACCTCCCATGGCTTGATCTCCAGAGCCTTATTACACCCTTTTTTGTCTGAACACTTCAATATGCTGTGGAGAGAATGAGCCACTGCATAGATGGCTTTGTAAATGTTAGTGGGGTATCTCAACTTCTCCAAGTCATCGTCATGACCTTTAAGCTGAAACAGATCTGGATTCTCTTTGCAGGTTCTTAAAACACTTTCTCTGTTTGTCCCGTTGCACAGGAATTCTGTTTCCCAGAAACCTCTAACCAGAAAATCCTCCAGGCCACTGATATTGGCCTTTTGCACTGCAAAGCCCAGAGCACCTCCCAGCACACTGAAGCTGGTGGGAGTCACAAGGCTGTCCGCGGTGATCCAGGCCTCCACGCCGATGAACTGCCGACCAGTGATGTTGTGGAGACTCAGCTGCTCTAGCAGGTTATTCATTTCCACATGGGAAAGAAAGCCAACAATCACTCGAGCGGTGCTCTTCTTTATCACCTCTATCACTTTCAGGAGTTTCTCCGGCTCTGCTCTGTCGAATTTCTCCGTGTACTCCACACAAACTCCTTCCTCTTGGGCCGCAGAAAGGAAGATGGCCATCCCATTGTTGCCGTAGTCGTTGTCGCTGTTGACTGCTCCGACCCAGGTCCAGCCAAAGTGTTTGACCAGCTGCGCAAGGGCACGGCTTTGATAGAGATCACTGACAATAGTTCGAAAGAAAGCGGGATGCTCCTTCCTACTGCTCAAACACTCGCAGGTGGCAGAATGACTTATCTGTAGACAGATGAACAGAACAGAAAACTGCACAATAAAGAACAAAAAGACATAAAAACTGATTCGGTTCACTCTTACCACTGGAATTTGAAACGGTCCAGTTGTGCGAGAAAGGACAATGGTAGAAGAAGATTCAGACTCTCCAATAATAGCATGAACCGCTGACTGACCAGAGCAGCTGCTTCCCAAAGTCAGCTCATGGCCGTTCATCAGAGCCATCGCAGCACGCATTGAGGATAATGTCGACGCACAGTTGTCATAAATCCGATATCCGATAGAAATATTGGGAAGGAGATCCTTTTTATTGTTTATTTCCTCAATTGCAAATATCATTGTCTGGGCAAATCGAAACTCCCTTAGGTTAATACTGAAAGAAGAATAGCAAAGTACAATATTCTGTTTTCTTAAGACAAGAAAATCATGTAACACATTGCTTAGAGCTCAAAATCACCTGCTACACTTATAAGCTGTTGGTCTCTCTGTAAAGAAAAATGAAGGCTGCGTGATTTTGCTGTGGATGGAAAAGGCACCTCCGATCATCACGTCTCCTTCTTTAGAAAGCACAGGAAACTCTGGACTTCCCCGTATCTGGCAGAGAGAAGCTGGTTCCCCCACTGTGACACATGCTTCTATTAGCCCGACCAGAATAAGCACTGTTGTACCTGATAACATTTTCATTTGGCTGGATACAGCAAGAGCAGAGCCACCCAGATCCAGGTTTTGTTCATGAATATAACCCACACTAGGATGCCCTACCTTCCTATTGACCAATCAGACATGTGGGACGGCCCTGGTTGGATCTGACCTTTTCTTAAAAAACACACACACCAAAAACGTATTTTACCTTTAGGGACAACACATTCAAGATTTAGTTATTTATACAAAAAACAAACAAACAAACAAAAAAACGTATGACAAGTTATAAAATGCATTGTCTTTAACTGACAGAAACCTAAACGGACAAACTTCACATTTACATTAATAATTCAGTCATGATTATCATCAAATTCTCATTTTATTCCATGACAGGTTTGTCAATAATCATACTGAAGAAATTTAAAGACAAATGTCAAGTGAAGAATCCTGGTCCAGGTTCTGCCTGTGCATGAGTGGGTTCTCTCCGGGTACTCCAGCTTCCTCCCACAGTCCAAAATCACAACTGTCTGGTTGACTGATCTCTCTAAATTCTCATTAAGTGTGTGTGCGTGTGTGTGTAGGTGTGTGTGTGTGTGCATGTTTCATTGTTTGCCCTGTCTGTCTCTGTTGCCCTGTGATGGACTGCCAACCTATCCAGGGTGAACCTCGCCTCTCGCCCATTGACCACTGGAGATAGGCACCAGCATCTAGGCATAAGAGTGTTGGGCAATAGATGGATGGATTGATGAATATTTTTCTTCCTCACACCCAATTTGTTTCCAGGATCATTCGACGTGAGCTGGTTAAAACATACAAAAGATTATATCAGAACTTGGATCTTTTGATTTCTCTGGCTGGAAGAACACCTAAAACTCCTCTAGTTGTCTAGTAAGAGAGCCAATAGCTTGTTCCCAGATGTCATAAAAAAATGTCCTCTGGAGTAGGTAAATATTTTAGATTTTAACAATTTCACACAGATGATTTTTCACATTAAAACACAATTATAAAAGAAAGGTTTAATTTTATCCAGCTCTGGAAAAAATTAGGAGACCACTTAAAATGATCAGTTTCTCTGATTTTACTTTTTATAAGTGTAAGTTTTTTAGTAAAGTGAACTTTGCTCTTTTATTCTATGAACTACTGAAAACATGTCTCCGAAATTCCAAGCAAACATTTAGTATTTATTTGTAGAAAATGAGAAATGGTCACAATAACGAAAAATATGCAGCACTTTCAGACCTCAAATAATGCAAATAAAAAAAAAAGAGTTCATATTCATTTAGAAACAACAATACTAAAGTTTTAACTCATGAATAATCATGAGGGTTTCAATGGGGTTAAGTGCAGTGGTCTTTCTTCCAGAGCTATATATTTTTTTCAGCGACTTTTTCTTTGGAGTTCAAAGGTTACAAAAAAGTTTGTCAATAACAATTGTATTTTTTCACTTGGCAGTTATTGTTAATAGCTTTTCATGGGTGCTATCCTTTTGAATAAAAATGTAGATAAATCTTATTTTAAATTCTACTAAAGCGTATTCCTATGCTCATCCACTTGCATTTACAATCATTTAAGTTGGTTTCTTTATATTATATTTCGTAGATTTCCAACAGATATATCCGATTAATGCAGTTCACATGTAGCAGATAAACATCTTCTTGTACTTGGGCCCAATAGTTTTCTAATATGGAAATCTGTCTATGTAAAACGTTTATTTCTTACTATTTTACCCAACATGTCACTTCAATTTGAAATCTGGACAGTGGCAAGGGACTTAAAGTTGCACATCTGCCAACTGATCAAAATAAAAAAAGTTAAACACAACTGTTACAGTAAAGCAGTGAGCCATGCGATATTTAATTTGATGTTTTTCTCTTTTACAGGCCTGCGGGACGTTTAGAGGTCATCCTATGTGCCTTTCAGTCCCTTCATTAATTAAAAAGGACATTGTTGTTTGAATATTTTATATTTATGAAACACCTTAGACCCGCTTGGTTAGGTCTTTTGGGAACAGATTTAGAAAAACATAAACAGTACATGTGCCTTGGGCATGGTTGTGACTTACATGCACTTTCCAATAACAAGCCTACAAACCCTCTGTAGAGTTCACGGTTCCATCCCAACAACATAATCTTCTAATAGTTTGACTTGGAAACTTTCCTTCAGAGTGGTTGCATCATAGTTTAATAATGACGACTAGAGACACTTTGTCTGTGCACAGCTGTCTTTCACTACAAAGTTGCTTTGTGATCTTGGTCAACTTGCAAAAGTTACATAATGTAAATACGTTTTTATTTATATAAACGTATTTATTATATTTATAGGGATAATTGACTTTTAAATTGTATGATGTCATTCAACCTTTGGGGTTTGAAAAAAATGTCCTTTTTATGTAGCTTCTGTAAATATCTGTTTTCAATTGAATGTTATTGAGTTGTTGAAATAATGTTGAAAGTTTAAATCAGGATTAAAAGGCCAAAAGGTGCAACTGGAAAGCCAGTCAGTTTACATATTGTATCTATGGCCTGTTGTGTTCATTTCAATGTGTAACAGCAGTTCTTCTTGATGTGGGCCAATCAAGATCCTAGCTACCAAATTAAGATGGTAAAGAAGAAAAGCCAGGCGAATTCATCCATCCCTTCCTCCGAATGTGAAACTTTCTCACCATAATTTGAGTTCAGATTTCGCATAATTATTATTCTCTAGAGATAAACTAGAGTCAGAGACAACAGATACCTCAACTTATTTGTTTAAGTACTAGCTTTCACTCTTTGGATCGTGATCTAACCTCCTGTGTCTTCATTTGCTTATTTGTAACTGGACAAACTAATATCAGTAAACCAAAAAAAAAAATAAATAAAATAAATAAATCTGGGCTTCACACAAATGTTCATTGAGATACAAGAACAATGGTCCCCAAAATGAGCAAACCCTGGTCCTACATTTTTAGGTGTCTTACTGCTACACATCTGACTAAAATAGCTGGATTAATAGGCTTCAAACTGTTATCTAGTTTATGAATAGAAATTTCTACAGGGTACCCACACTGCAGTAATGGAATGATTTAAAAGGGACGGTGGCCTCCTCAATGCTTTAATAACTGGGTGTTGTTGGGCAGCCAGATGAGACATCTTTATTAGTTGACTTTGAAAACAACTTTTAAACTACTTTAAATGTACATGAAGTGTCCAGCTTTAAATACCTTCATATCCTTACAATAATTAAAATAGCTTACACTTTGTTTTACTTTGATAGATTCACCTGGAAGAGAAATACCATTACATGTTGATGTCATAAGGTCTTAGTAAACCTTTACTGAACAAGCATGTAGCTGTGAGGTAAGGCAAGGTAATTTTATTTATATAGCACATTTTCAGCAACAAGGCAATTCAAAGTGCTTTACATGAGTTAAAGCACTTTGTAGAGGGAAGCTGGGCTACCCTGGAACAACCCTTGAATAAACAGGAAGAACATGAAACTCCACAGAAAAAGGTTCCAATAAGGTTGTCGACAAAAGTAACAGAGCTAACCTACACCACCATACAGACATGATCTTTATCATTTATACTGAAAATGTTATGATAATAAAATGCTTGTTTTGACCTGTGGTTGAAAGCGGGGTACCAGAAAATAGTTTCAACCTAAGCAGGAGGCATTCATGCAGTATGACAGCAGTGTTAATCCAACTAGTTGTATATGTTTGACTATGTGAGCCTTTATCCAGTCCTGTAGAATGTGGAAATTGGCTCAACAATTGTTTACAATTCCCACATCCCAGATCAGGCCAATATAGATTTAGATAATGAGTTGAAAGACACACTGTTTCAAACCACGCTATGTTTAATAACGGTGACACAGAAATATATCATATACAATGCTGCCACCTGCTGATCTTATTGTGCTATTGCTGAAAAGTGTTTGCAATTCAACTGAAAAAGTAAGGCAGATAGATGAATACAATAAGACAGCACATGTCATCTCCCAAAAAAAGTTATGTGGTTAGACAGAGCATAAAAATCTAAATATATTTATTTATTGGTTGATAGTCATCCTTGAAATTAAATTCAAGAAACTGATGAAATAGTTCAAAATAGAAGGTTTTCCCTGTGTACCTTGCCCATGGGACACATCAAGATGTGGGAGGAGGAAGCTGGAATCGAACCTACAACCTTCCGATCACAAGACTACAATGGTGGACCATTGTGCTAACATAAAACTCCAGATTTTATGCTGTTGTGTTGAACGAGTAATGCATTCAAATCAGGTGAACATAGATCTAACAAGGGTTAGCTACTATGTTACAAAACAGAAGACCCTGATCAGCAGCCATCAACATATTGTGACAATTCTGACTGTGTGATAATTTACTCAAACTAAAATGGTTCATGATGGGAAAACTGTAGAGAAAATCTGCAGACAAGCCAGAGGCTGAAAACAGTGGAGGTTACAGTAGAGGTTTATGAGAGTTCCAGCTGAGTCCCACATACGATACAGTGGTTCGGCCCTGTTGCATGTATGTGAGTGGGTAGGCGGCGTATTAATGCGTGAGTGGGTTGAGCACATTTTTCTGTCCGCCACTCTATTGCCTACTACTTGTAAAGCGTTTTGACTGAAACACACTCGCATATTCACCCACAAAACAAACACTGGCAGGCTCAAATGGGAAGCAAACGTGAAAGCAAACAGAATAAAACTTAAAAAAACAGAAGGAGTGATTGTATTCAATGAGCAGGAGATTGAAAGAGTTGATTTACTGAACAGCAGTGTTAGAGTGTGAGACAAACTTTAACAGCAGACAATAACCCATGAGGGTTATTCCTTTTGGGACAATAATCCGTCTTGGATGAAGTGCATGCTGCACTGCCTGTTCACCAGCTGTGGTCCATCCAGCAAAGAGCAAAGGGAAGTTTCCATCTCACTGCAGCCCTCCATGGAGCTCCAACAGTTAGAGGACAGAGGTATTATACCGACTTTAGGTCACCAAACATGACAAATGTTGTCAGAGACCATGTTGCTGCTTTTGTTGCAGTTGAATGCTTTGGCAAACTCTGGGAAGTTCTGAAGGGAGCCCAGTACTCTAGAGTATACAAAGGAGACCGGTGTTAGCAAGTGGACTTTGTGTGTCAGAGGGTTCTGTACTTTAAAGTCATGAAGTGCTTATTTCTGCGCTTCGTGTTATTACCTGAACATCACTGGACTGTGTATATCCATTTTAATGGAAATAAGAGCTTGCTGTGGTCGATATGATCCACACCAAATCTTAAAGAGATATACAGGATGTAAAGTATCAGACAAGTAGAGCTTCATGAATTCAATTACAGATGCGTCAGGTATCCCACTGTATTTCTGGCACCCCATCCCAAAAGCATATCCATTTTTGCAAAAGATAAATAGAAATTCTTACATTTTCTTGAACTGCAGTGCCATGTTGTGTTTTTCTTCTATTAGTTGAGTTATCTAGACCTGAGCTTTGGAAATGCCACTAGCTCACTTACTATGTTCCCAACTGTATACTGACATAAGTGAAAAATGTCCTTCATAAGAGATACTGCAGTTTTAAAGAGGTGTGTAGCAACGTCACAACTTTGAGATCATAGTTTTTGTCTTTTGTGAATGACATTCTTTTCAAGACAAAAAAAATAGGAACAGTTAATGACTAAAGTCACAAAGTTGGAGTTTTACTAAAGTGGTCAGGGTCATTGTGCACCTGCTATTAAAAAATGTTCAATTTAAGGCAAATTGTTTTACAAATTAAAGCAGGTCATAATTCTGTTACAGTAAAGCCTTATAAAGTAACTATTGAGCTAGGCAGAATTAATTATGTCAGGAATATTGATGAAAAATATTTAATACTGAACTTTAATAAGCATTTATCAATATTAAACTTTTTTGTTTGACTGATTACCTGTGCAAAGTTAAGAAAGAAGAGTTGATCATGTGAGAGGTCAGTCCCAGGCAGCCGGGGCTCCTCTCCATTCCTCTTCACAAATTTCTTGTATGCCTATAATAAAATGCAAAATTGTATATATCTTACACATAGTTAATAAATGTTTGATTTATTCATTTTTCAATAATGCACTACATTTATGTTTGCCTCCACAGCTTCTACGTTAAAGTACACATTTGCTATTACAATAGACATCTTGCCAATTCAGATGTGTTAAAAAAAAAAGTAAAATCTCTTTTTCAGAGTATTAAACTAGTCAGAATTTTGAGGTTAATTTTTAGTTTCTAGTGTTTAGTCCAGTTTGATTTCTTTCTGCTTGTAGTCTTGCTCTTTCCCGACCCTTTTCAGCCTGAAATGATTACTATTAATAATTGTTAAATAATTACTGACTGTTCCCTAACAGACAATGTTGTCATTGCAACCTGGCTGTGCCTATATGTGGTGCACTAATGAACAGGAAGAACATTAAAATTTTCATGATGCACCAGACCAGTCACTGGTCAGGGCTGCTCAAGCAGAAAATTATACGACAATGATGACAAAGCAATTTCTCTTTGCATCTCTAATCCAGAGTAAATATCTTGAAGTAATGTTTATGTAAAATTGTATTTTACCAGTTCTTACTTTACATACAAAACAATGTCATTTTTTATGCTTAAATAACATTTAAATCTTTTTACAGAGTTTTAATGACTTTAGACTGGTTAGTGACCCTCTGTTGATCCAGAGTCACAGTACCAGCAATCACACCTTCATACAACCTAACAAACATGTCAACACCCTGACAAACAAACTTCAATTTTTGTTTCAAGTTGCATGGACCAGGTCACATATGTAAACAAAAACATTTCCACAGCATCTCTTCACCTGGTACGCCTGTCGAATCCCTGCATTGTCAGCTATGTTCTCACTGAGGGTGTTGTTGCCGTTCAACTAAGGAGAAAATAAAGGTGCAGAGTGCAAAAAGTGATGAACAAACTTGAAAGTTTTCTCTCCATATTTTCAGTAAGTTGCAGATATCAGTTTCTGGGTTATAAGAACGAATCACCCAGGGAATAAAAGAAGCTTTGTTCAAAGGAGCAGTACAGAGGAGGAAGGATAAAAGGAGAAGTACTCATATGTCAACATAAAATACTAAAGACACCTAAAGCAGAGAGAAGATAAAGTTGCAAAATAGGAAAGATTGATAAAGGACAGATGGATAAGCTGGCAAAGGCAACAGGAATTCTGGTAAAATCAATGAAAGTGAGGTTAGTTGGAATTTTGCATGTAATGTTCCAAACAAGTAGGAAACAAAAGACATGTTTGAGAAAAGAAGCAGTGAACATACATGTAGACCATTAGCCAGGTCCCAGGAAAACTTGCTGTACTGGTTAGCGAAACACCTTGAGAGTTCCAGGAATTTTCTAAAAGATTGAGGAGTCCACCAGTTCTTCAGATTGCCGTCCTTGTCATACTTGCTACCTAGAGACACAGAACAGATGTCTGGGAGTTAGAGATGGGAATATTAACATGCATTTATACTCCAAAAATAATTAAATAATGAAAACTGCAAGTATGACCCCATTTGCAAATTTTAATATATAGATACATTACCAGTAACGTGTAACAAAGGGCAACATGTTCATCTATGGTCCAAACAGCCAGGCGAAACCTCTGCACTTCCCCTGTTACACTAAAATGACTAAACTGTAAAACTGAACGTTGGAATTTTGTTGTTTTGAAACTGTAAGCTTCCTATGGCTAAAAATTATTGTTAGATATTAGAATTTGTTTTTTTTACGTGTAAATAAGAATGCAGGTGGCAAACCTGAGGTGGAAAATTATTTACATTACAATTCAAATGCAAGAGACTGTATAACAAAAAAAAATCCTGAGGCCAAAGGCATCATAAGGTGAAACAAAGCTCTTCTCTAAGTGGTACTAGTTACAGGGGGAAGTTCACAGACTAATGTAATCCAGTAAAACTGAAAGGGAGAACAATGAAGTGGAAAATTCATACCTTTGTCATCAAAGCCATGTGTAATCTCATGACCGATTACCATGCCAATTCCACCGTAGTTGAGAGATTTAGGCTGGCCTTTGCTAAAGAAAGGGGGTTGAAGGATACCAGCAGGAAACACTACAGACAGAGAAAGCAGTTTTAAATGCCAAAATAGATCAGGCTTTATGTTTTATGGCTGAACATAATTTCCAGTGCTTATTTGGTACCTATTTGGTTTTTGCTGGCTGAGTAGAAGGCGTTGACAACAGCAGCTCCAGTTACCCACCTTGAAAAAATAGATTAAAACATTGAGAGCGGGTGTTATTAAATGATGACACTATGAAAAAGCACCGAGGCAAAGTAAGAAGGCTACTTGAGTAAAAACGTGGAAAATTAACATACAGCTTTTAAAACCCAAAGTCAATGTAGGACTCCCTGCTGTTAAAGCTGAACTCTGAATGCATGTGGGAGTTTGTGTGGTAGAAAGTGAACACACTTCACAAAGAATAAATGGGGTAAACACTGTAGTAGGTCACTCTGCTGGGATCATAAATAAGACAGGTGATTTAAATACCAAACAATGCACTTTTCATTTACAACACATCTGGAGTAAAGCTGGTAAATCCATCGACCCCACAAAAAAACAAACAAACAAACAAACACTTTACTCATCCTTGTTGACTTTTTCTCGCAATTTCTGCAGGTATTTCTTGGTCCCGTACTCCAGGTTCTGCAGGATGTTTTTAAAATACTCCTCTGCACTGTAGCTCAGCTGACACCAACACAGCCAGAAAAACATCATGACCGAGTGCTGATGAAAGCCATCAACACTAGGTCATGTATTCACGAGGGAAACTTGTTATTCACTGGGATGTTTTAGCTACGATAAGAAATGCAACTTCCCTAAAGTATTTTCTATTACAAGAACTTAGTGAAATATGGATAATGGTGTTTTTTTCATAAATATTTACATCTTTGTACTCATTGTTTAGATATTCGTCATTCATGATGTCGTCAGAATAACCAATGCGTTCACGGATAGCTTGGGCCTGGAAAAACAACAACAAATGAACACAAAAAAAGTCAAAAAAGACTAAAACTGGTTTACTTGTTGTTGTAGATAGAAAAATAAGTTGATTCTTGAAAATGAAATTCACACCTTCTCTTCCGCTGCTCTTTTGGTCTCTTCATCCATCCAGGCGAGGTCATTAAGGTTACTAATGAAAACTTCCCGAATATCTTTAATCATCTCCTCCATCTAATCTCCCAACACACCAAAGAGAGCAAATGTCACAAGATGCCAATGATGGAACAGGAAAATGCATCATAAAAAGGTTCTCTGGTCTGCCGTTTGTTTCTGTTCATCAACTCAAATTGGATCAGAAATAAGACAAATATAACTTCTGTCAAAATATTAACACACTTCCTAAAATGATTAGGCCTTTCATATCCACATACCAGAACGATTCAGACTTGCATATTAGACTGTTCATTAATTTGTAATTAATGGCAACTGCTTTGACATTATGGCTTTAAAAACATTATATTCTGAATTTTTTTATATTTCCATCAGGATTTTTCTTGGAGGACTTGACCATACACTTGACTAAAAGAAATAAAAATATGCTCCACTTAAAATATTTCCTTTTTCCCCAGATGGCAAAGTCATTGTCAGTTGACCTGTTAAGATTTTTCCAAAACCAGGAAATAATCTGAGCTTTCCCTTAGTGTTGAAAGAGATAGGGATGACTGAATACAAACTTCTGAATTTAAAGAAAATTACAAAAATAAAAGACACCTCGAAGTTTCCTGTCATTTAGGAAATATAAATATTTTTGGTTATTCTAATGGATCTAAAACAAGATATGTTTGGTCTAGTTTAACTTCAAACAGTGAGAATTATTTTTTTTTTGCCTTTCTATGCTGAACAATTCTTGTTCCAGATATAAAAGGGAAGGATATTAAAATTTATGATCTTACAATCAAGAGAAAGAAAAATAACTTCATAAGTTGTTTATTGATACTATTGTCATTACACTCCGTTTCAAACCTGCATAGTGTTGTTGAACATCTACAATAATTTTTTTTTTCCTTGAGGCTTTTTTTTGTAATGTTACCCCCAAGGGTTTCCACATTTTTAAATGCATTGCTTCACATAAAGAATTAAATACTCTGAGCCCACAGCAAGAGAAAACCAGAAAACCCCTCGTCTCGTCACATTAGTGGACCCCTTGCTTACTCATTGCACAACCCTTGAAAAAAAAAGTTGTGGTTTGCCACAAACTGGCAGAGACCACACAGAGATTTTTCCAACAAGCCTTTAGGGGAGATTGTTATGTGTGGAGACATGGAGTCTTGACAAAAGTTCAGTCTGGAAGTTCAGCCTCATCAATCAGCGCCCGCCTCTCTGCAACCTGGACCTATCGGCGCGGACCAAGCCTCGCTCCAGCCAATCATCGTTTGGGCTTCAGTTCAAAAGGACCTTCACCCATAGCCTCCTCTGCTCACCAGCTGCGATCAACCCACCTCCACCCCATCTCCACCTTCTGCTCCCGGCTCTCAGGCCTCATCTTCCTCCGACCGCCGCCACCAGTACAGGCCCCGGGGGGTCTACATTCCTATGCTGCATCAGGAATGTTCATCGAGCTCATCGACATCCAGCTCACCAGAACGCCAAAGGACTTTTTATTTTTATGATCATTTTGTCATTAAACTCTTTTAATCGCCTTCTTTCTCCGTTTGAGTCTCTCCAGTTTGAAATGCAGTTTGTATAAATTTCCCAATAAACCATCACTGATTTCATCTTAGTTTTACACTGAAAGCTTCCACTTAGGTGTATTTATATCAGATATGCATGGTGAAAAGCTGAAACTAGAGCTAAAAAGAAACATGCTGCTTATAGGCTTGGAGTGCTTTATTTATTAATTAATGTCCCAGTACACTGAATGTCTCTTGACTGCTGATATATAAATATGTAAGGAGACGGTCTGGTGATAATCTGAATGATTGATCAGCTACTTCCCACAGAAAAAGAAAACATATTCAAAAAATCTAATTACTTATAGACGCATAAATCTCCTCAGAAATAATTTCTATAATGGATTCATCTATATGTAAGGGATTTCTAACTTTAATCTCAGAATTCTGACTTTGACCCGTCGTTACTTTTAAGCATCTCAACTTCCATAAAGATGTTTGCCTACTCAGGGTCACTCATACATGACACAGTATTGCGGCAAAGCCTGCGTGTCCACGCGTGTGCGTGGACACGCAGGCACACAGTTGAGATTTACAGTGTAGGCGGTGTGAGCATAACAAGGACACCTCATTCAGCTGCTTCCAGTGGATGCAAACACGACAACACTGAGGCACAGACACGAGACAGGTGACAAAATCACAGATTTCTCTTAACCATGTAGTTCTGTATATGGATACATAAAAACACTCACTATTTTTATGTCATCAGTTCAGACTGTCAATGTAAAAGAAAGCTGTTCAGTAAAACTTTATTAATCGGTCCAGTTCAGCCTCTACCTACCAGCTCTTTGCTGTTCTCAGAGAAAGCCTCCTGCACGTAGAGCCGTCCCACAGCTTTGTCCAGGTTGCTGTTGACGTACAGTGCGCACCGTCGCCACACGGCCTTCTCTGATGTTTTACCGGTCAGAACCTATTGCGAAGGTGATGAGACAACATAATGAATGAAGGAGAAACTTTGTTCAAATAAAAAAACTGATTTCCATTTTAGGAAGTAGAGTGAAAGAAAAAGGATGGGTTATGAAAAAAAACTTACAAGAATCTATAAAAAAACAAGAAATAAAGCACCGCATCGCCTAAACATTTTAATAAACAACCCCAGATCATAGCACTGCCCCACAGGCTTATCCAGTAGGTGCCAGGCATGAAGGGTAATAACTTCACTTGTCTCTCTTCTTGCCCTGACGCGCCCATCACTCTGGAAGATGGTAAATCTGAACTCAGACCACATCATGATCTTCTTCCGTTGCTCCAGAGGATTTTTTTTTTCCATTTAGCCTCACTGACTAGTTGTTTTCTAAAGACTACACAGCTGTTCAGTTGCAATCCCTCGAGTTCTCATTGTGTGTGTGGTAATGTGTTTACTTTCACTATTAAACACAGCCCAGAGTTCTAGTGTTGTTTTTCTTCTATTTGATTTCACCAAACGTTTAAGTGATCACCGATCACGATCATTCAGGATTCTTTTCCAGCCACATTTCTTCTTTAGTAGATTCTGCAATCTCCTTAGATGTTTTCTTGTGTTTGATGGATGTCAGTGATTGGACCCTTCTCAAACACACCGACATCTGTTCCATGACCAAAGGGTAAATTTATGACAGACATCTTCCTTGTTTTAATGACATTTCAGAGTCTGTTAAATGTAACATCTATTAGACTTCCTTGTACCTTTTTCTTTTCAACAACTACAAGTAATGTTTTACACCTGTACAATAACTTTCCACTTTGAAATTGTTAAGACATTGCAAGGACATTCATGAAAGTAGTTTTCCCAAGTCAACATGTCAAGGTAATATCAGGCTGCGTACCTTGTGGAAAGCGTTCCTGGTGTTTCTGTAAGGTCGGCTGAGCCCCTCTACCATTTTCATAACAAACCGCCAAACCACATAGTTTTGCAGATCCCTGAGAGAAAAAAAAATGCAGAAAGGACAAGGAGATCGACATGATCCTGCAGTGATCTAACAGCAGAGTGTGACCAGGTTTTTCTAACCGCATCCTGTGACTCTGACCTTGGCAGAAACGCATACAATTACTGCACAGGTAAGCAATTTCTCTGAAAAACAATAACCATCTCTGACTTGTATAATCTTACACACCTCTTGGTGTATTTGGCTAATACACCTTTGAGTTTTACGAAATAGCTGGGGTAGTTGTTGATGATTTTCTCCGATTCAGGAACCTTGATGTTCACGGTGTCCATTATCTTAGCTGTGAAGTAACTCCAGTTGAATTTCTTCAGGTTGAGCCAAAACACACACAAACAAACCAAGTTTGAGATATTTAACACTAAGTTTAAATAATAGCAATACTCACGAGCTAAGATGTTAGCATTACCTGAGAGTCAATTTCAAGAGTGAAGTTTCTGTTCAGCTCCCTCAATTCCATCTTGTTGTAAAGCAACACTTGATCACTCTGAAGCAGCAGTGGGTCAGTGGCCTGGGAGAAAAGGAAATGCAACAAAACGAAACAAAAGACTAGAGTTTAAAAATCTCATAAAAACTCTGAGTCCCCTACACATTTACACTCTTGGTTCATCTCCAGACGCATGAAGCATGTGCAGCCCAGGAGGCCTCAGGTCTGTAAATGTCAGCGTTTGAATGGTTTAACTGCTTTGTAATACTGAGAGGCAGAGTGGAGGCAAAGCAAAGCATGTGAGCAACAGGAGAAGCGCAGCCTGACAAAACAGGGTTGCAAATCTGTTGATTTCTAGGAAATTCTTGCTGTGACAGGTTAACAAGCTTGTCTCAAAAAGATTTGTATATGCCCAGAATTATTTTGTACTGTGAACTTTTTCACAGTACAATGATGCCATCATCATTTTCAATGTGCCGGTCACATAAATGCCTAATAAATATGCAAGGGCTTTAAAATACTAAATGGATAAATGTGGCCACACCTCTTTGTTATAATATTTGACTGTTCCACTATTTTAGCTGTACAAGCAGACCAGATGTAAAACAAAAACAAAACAAAAAGAAACAGCATGTATACAGAAAAATGGTAGGGTTTTGGAGAAACCACAAAGGGGTAATATTATTTTCCCCATGGAGGTTGCTGACAAGAAAAGCTCTAAGTCCCCAAACCATACCTTTTTGTTTACATTGAATACTGCAAAGGACTTAGTTTTTTGGGGTTTTTTTGGGCTGTGCCTTAGACATGATCAGTGTCAGTAGCTGTCTTTAAATGAGTTCCAAATCCAAAGTTTCCACATCCCAAAGTCCAGTACCGGTAGAGACCAGCACCGGCTGCCTTTCTATGAGTGTCTTCAGGGCAAACACTACGACTGTTGGATCGAAGCAGACCATCGATCCAGAGAAGATAGAGGCTAAGGTGGAAGAGCTGTAGAGCAGCTCCTGGGAAGTAATTTAATTATTACATGAGATAATAGGTCTAATAGGGCTTTTAGGGCTTTAGATAACATTTTGAGCAATTTTTCTTTGTGTTGTAGTAATACCTTTTTACTTCATTAAAATCATTAAGGGGAACTTAGTGTGATTAATAATGTAGCTATTGGATGAATAAATCAATAATGAATACATAGAGTTTGTTTTTTTATCATCAGTAATTAAGTGGAGAGTTGTTTATCTGATTTGACTAATCAAAGTGTTTTAGGTTTGAGCAACAAATTATTAACATTCACTCCTTACTGAGGGAAAAAACAAACTGCGAAAGTCCTATAGTTAAACAAAGACAAGAGCAAACACCAAACTGTGCATCACATTTCAGCTTAAGTGATCTCTGAAAGAATATGCTCACACTGACGATGTCTCTCTCCAAATCCACAACTCGTGTCACCTCTGCTTTTATGTCTGTTTCGCTGATTTTCAGTCCCCGGTCAGTGCGGATCAACTTTGCCAGGTCAAACATGAACTTCTCATAAGCTCGACATGCCTGTAAAGCACATTTTATAATAATAATGCTTGTTTTCCCAAAACAAAAAGTGTCTCCTCGCACCAATGCACACTGTTGCTACAGCTACTTCTTATAGCTGCTTTTTGTTTTATCAAATCAACAGTTCACATTCAGCTGTAAAATAAAACCAGAAGAGAGGATGTCTGTTCCAGTAACAACATTTGGTCTGTCTTGCTTTTCTCTCTTGCTCTCGATGAAGGCGGATGCTTTTTTCCTCTGTTCCCTCTCTGCCCATGCCTGCCCTGCTTGCTCTGTTTTTGTCCTGTCTTTTTCTATATTTTTGGAGCCTGTCTTTGCACATCATCCAAATCTACAAATTATGGATCTGGTCAACCAATCTCTCAATGCAATTGATCAAATTTTTGATGAGAAATCTGGGCACAGGAGAGCCCTCTTGTCCTGTGGGGACAAACCCGGCAGGATTCACCCTGGATTTATTCATGATAACAGGATTTCTGCTGTTTGGAGCTTGTGGATTCCTGGATTATCAACAAATTTGTGACGGACTTGGCCGAACTAGCAAACACTCAGACTGTTGGTGTGGACAGAGACGAGGACTCTAAAACTCACTAACGAGTTGGAATTGATCTTGGAGAAGTTGCTAGTTTCTAGTTGCTAGTTTCTAGTTGCTAGTTTCGGTTCAGTGGAACGACCAAACTAATTTGGATAATTGGGAACTGAGATGTATCGGAGAGACTTTAGGGAAGATTGAAATTTATAATCTTCCCGACCTAAGACATTCTGTTTCTGAATTGGCTTTTCCCGTGTGGCCTTGGAAAGGCTGCATATCTCTAATCTCCTTGAAGATATGTAAACACAATGCTCTTTCCCACTTCACCCCCTCCTGTCTCCATGGAGCCGTGGAGCTGGGCGTTCCCAAGGACATCATTCCTCGATAACACCTCTATCGGACTTTGCCAGGAGGCTCAGCCACCTGGTTTCATGGCCCTTTTATGTCACCGCCTTCACTCATGTCTCTGTTTTGCCCTTTGTTTTGCCTGAATGTTGCGATTTGCCCTAATGTGTCCTTTCCTCTTTTTTGCGCTCTATCCTTTGGTTTGTTATTTTGTTTGTATTTCCTTTTTATTCATGTAAAGCACTTTGAATTGCCTTGTTGCTGAAAATGTGCTACATAAATAAAATTACCTTACAGAGATTTTCTTCCCCACTTTTTATTTACAACAAACCACTGAAAGGCAATATTTTTCCCTATAGCTTAATCCAAACTATTGCATTTAAGCAGTGCAAAAATGTTCAATCATGATGGTGATGCTTTAATTGGGTTGGACGATCTGGCTAAAAAACATCACAATATGACCGTTTTGTATCAGTTAATAGACAATTATTGATATATTGATTGATAGGTCTTTTTGTGTTTATTAGTTGAAATACTGCCAAACTGGCAGTATGAACTTTTCTGTTTCATCCACAGTGTTCACTCTATGCCATTGTTTATTGTTCAGCAGTTATGAGACACAATGGTGAAACCTTAAAGTGCTGCTGCACAAGTTTCTCAACAGGTTGTTGCTTGGCTGATGCCGTCTTCCTTGCATTCTGTCCCAGAATGCAGTGTGGTTCTGGATCGGAGTTCAGTGAATTTGTTATATATTGAATTTTCTATTAGATGTACTAGCTATTAATATTGATCTTGTGTCTGTCACGATATAGTTCATTGATTTTGTTGTTCAGTCCTATGCTTTATGAAACACCAGCTTTCCATGTTACAAAATCTTTCAACAAAATAAATCAGCACAAGCACAAATTAACATTTTCTACTGCTTTGGTTAAGAGTTACTTACACATGACCAAATAACTATTTAAACATTTCAGCACACCTCTGCAAAGCGACCCTTGCAGGTGTAGTAGTCTCTGGACAAGAGGCCAAAGGACATTTGCTGGTCAAACTGACAAAGAATAGAAGACAAAAAAAATCAAGACAATATTGTAGTTACCAGAAATAAAGACCATTATGTAACCAGTTTTGCCCAACAGATTGAACTCTCTCATTACAAGACCCACTTGTTCAAGAATTTAAGTACGTCTGATTTATCAGCTACCTGTCTGCATACAATATGAAAATTAAATATTGTTTGAAAGTTTTTTTTTTTGTTTGTTTTAATTGGTTGAAATATTGTCAAACTATTGTTACTTTTCCTATTGATGCCAAATATTTTATTGTTTTCCAAATTCCGGGGATCTTTGCAACACAAAAGAACAAAATCAGCCTTTGTATTTTAAAGAAGGTGATTTATTCCTCAAATTTCAATGCATATACTGTACTAAAACTTTTTGGACTGTGTTTTAGTCCAAAATCATATTTTTGTAATGTTCAAATCTTCTGGGAGATTGTGTTTTGAGATTTTTATTGACTGTAAGTCCAAATAATCAAAACTGAAAAAACAAATATACTTGAATTGCCGTTTACCCACTCTGTCAAAATTAGTGAAAAATTAACATACTGAATTCTAATTTACTCAGATGCGCTTTTAGAGGTTTTACACCCGCAAGCTTTGTACGTACATAAATGATGTGTGAAGTGGAGTCTCCGTCATCAATGTAAACGAAAAAGTAAACCAGGACTTGTGTTGCATATTTCCAATTTAACCTGGCAATGACATCCTCTAACCTCCAGGTTTTCCCTGAAGAAATAAGATCGGAGGAAGGAGGATGTGCGAGGGAAGAACTGCAATAAGAGATTTATAGCATGATGGCAGCGAGAGGAAGAAAGGTAAAAAAAATGCAATACCATAGTCATCCTCCCAGTTGTCCACAGCCATGGGCCACTCAAAGATGTCTGGCAGCATGTCGAGCAAAGGAGCCCCTCCTTTCTGCTCAATTAATCCTATACAGTGCAGTATTGATGAAAGTCAAACAGGAATCAGCTTGCATACAGTAATTTTACACAAGCTGAAAAAGTAAAATCGGAACATGCTGAATTAAGATTCATTCTAATTTCTAAATTGAAATTGTAACCCTGTAAGACCCATTGCTGTAACTTTACAACATATCTATTTCAAACAAAAAAAATTGTAAAAATTATTATTTTTATTCTAGGTTTTTACTTAGAAATTGAACCTGTTTGTTCAGTCTTGGAATACTAATGGACAATTTATTCTCCAACTTGAAAAACAGTGGCAAATGGCAAATAAGCAATAACCAAGATCTCTGAGTACCACATTAATTAAAACGTAGTGAGTAAAACGTTTAAGAGTTTTGGCTGGCCATTACAATTTCTAGATCATGTATACATATGTAATGTTATGTACAACACTTTTACAAAATGGAAAGATGAGCATGTTTGATATTATATCTAATATTACATTTTTATCTTCCACATTCTGAAGAAACAGACAACCTTCAGGAATTGTACAAAGTGATGCCTATACAAAACATGATAGTTTATCTACAATGGATTAGTCCATTCACATCTCATGTCTGCTGACTCACTCTCGTTTGTGCAGGACTTGTAAAGTGTCTTTGCCTTGGTGAGAGCAGCAGCCTCCCTCTCCACCTTCTTTTCAAGGACACCTGCATATAAGCACAAACAAAAGGACATATGATTGACACTGCATTTGACCAATCATATTATGAAATGACTGTTCCCAAGCCAGTAATATCCAGAGAGTGTCATGTAGCTAATTTGCACATCCCATATTCTTTCTTGAATATATTTTACTGGTCAACGCAGCCACTAAATCTAAAATAACAGATGTTACAAGATTTCTGTCACAGGGATATATGGCACCTTGGGGTTTGTTTTGACATGAAGAAATCAGCTTCGTGCAAAACTAATGTATCCTTAGTGTGTCAAACTGAGCAGAAAGTTAGAGTCTGTGTGCCCTTGTGCGTAAAGGCATTTACGGGATTTTTTTTCTCACCAGTGTTTTGTCAATATGTGTCAAAGCGAAATATATTTCTTCAACGAAACGTCAAAATGAGTCACGAGAGTGAAGTATTTTTACATACAGTACTTTGTGACTGACTGAACTGATTTTACTCCTGCAGAATTTCACAAAGGAACTCAAAGAAACCAGTTAGTGTGTTTTTCATTCTCAACTTGTCTTAGATTTATCTCCAACAATGTGTGTGTGTGTGTGGTATGTGCATAGTGTGTAATAAAAACTATCAGAGCTTGCTTATGTTCTTAATTCCAAGGTGTAACCACTTCAAGATGCCTTTAACTGAAATATTTTTTTGAATAAAGTTAACTTGCCTTGTTGTTTGTAATAGTAGTAATAGACTTCTGCTCAACTGCAGTCCACACAATATGAATATCCCCCAAACTCTGAAATAGGTCATTTTCTTTTTTTTAATAATCAACTAGAGGACTCAACCTCAAGTCCTCAGGAGATTTTGTTCTGCAACTTTTAATGACTCCAGTGCTTCAAAACATCAGAATTCATTTTCTCATTATTATCAGGAACTTTACTGTGTTGAGGGAAAAAAAAATCCCTCAACACTATGGTCATGTCTGTGTTCAGGGAAACAAGCTGTTGAGTTTAATATCTCTCTCTTTTTAAGGCTACAATTACAAGCATACTTGTGCACTTTACTTAAAAACACTTTCTTCCATTCAACCTTAATACAGCACTGTAAAAGCAGCATGCTTCTTTAGAAACAATCTTTTGTAGCTTCCTTTGTTGAATATATCAATGACTTTACTGGACAACTGTTAATGAAGCACTCTTTCCCTTGAATGGTCACAACATGGAATGGCACAGAAAGTATTACAATTTTTTATTAAAATTTACAGAGAAAAGAAAAATGCTTCAGATATATATCTGAGTTTTAGATGGATTATTGCATAATTCGTACTCTTGAACAACAAAAAAAAACCTTCTAAAATACTGTCACCTTTGAGGACGACTTCCAACTCGGCTTTTAAGATGTTGTACAAGCCATATTTGGCGTGGGTCTCTGGGATGATGTTCTTTTTCAGCCATCCTCCACAGGAATATTGATAGAAGTTGTCACAAGGATCCACGCTAGCATCCATCTTCCCAATGAGGCGAGACGCTGCGGGAAATTGAGAAGGCCAGCTTTACGTTTATTGGGAGGGAAAAACAAGTAAAAAATCTGAAACAAGTATGAAGTCATTTGCAACAGTATGAGCTGGAAGAAGCCCTATACAATTATGCAGATGAAATATAATTTAGTTCTGCAAAGTAGACTGTCAGGACTGTAATAAAACTTACAAAGAGAGAGCACTGGAAAGCAGGGAAATAAATGTCTCCTCAATTAAGACTCTGATTATCAAAAACTCCAAATGAAAATCCACACATGAAAAAAAATGAATCAGTCCAACATCACAGGTCGAAACAAGTTCAACTTTTAATTAGGTCTTTTTCATCAGCTACCTACAGCCACCTGATTAAAGATGCTCCAATGTCACCAATTAATACTCTGGCATTCTGGGAAATATGTTTAGTCATCTTACACCAAAGTGTTCAAAGAAAAGATTAGCTAAGAACCTGTTGAAGGATGAAGGCTGCAGCTGATCAGCCGAATGCTGGAAACAGGAAAAGCAGCTAAAAAGCTCTGGTTAGAGAGATCTAATCCTCCTACAGAGCTAAAGCGCCAAAATGCTCACTTCAGATACCAACACAAAACTTAATGCGTTTATTCCTCACTGAAAAGTGAGGTGGAATTGTTTAAGTTAGGGATAAACGCTAAGAATTTATTGAGGTTACTTTGATTATTTTCACTGATTCAATTAAAGAAAGTACATTTATCTGTGAATAATTTGCACTTAGTCAAACTACAGTTTAGCAAAGCTTGTTGCAAGGTAAGAGCTCTTTGTTGTAGGCCTTACAATAAAAATGGAAACTAAACTGTTTAAATGTTTAACTTGACAAATTGGGAAATCTTCTTTGAAGTCTCAAGTTTTCAGTCAGTATAGATTTAAAACAAAAATCAGTCTTGGTGTTTTGATGTTTTTGATCCCTATTAATTACACATTAAATGAAATGAAATTTAAAGCATTTTCCATTTTAGGATTTTTACTTGTCTGTATTTAATGTCCCCCTAACATTGTTTGAATTTGAATTTAAATGTGGATCTGAATCAACTGCATGAACTAGCAAACAAAATTCATGCTATTCTTGAATTGTTGTCAACGGACACCCAGCATCATTCTACTGGCTGCAAATTGGCTCCAGGATGAACTTTGGACACCCCCGTTTTATAACCTCTTGGATAAACGCCAACTTCTAAGACTTGGAACTCATAACCAAAAAAATATCACTAAACTAGATTGTTCCAATATCAATTATCGTCAAGTTTTCTGTTGTTTATCAAGGACACAAATAATTTTCAACATGACATTTAATAAATCAAATGTACATAGTAGGAAGATGAATCTTTTTTTTCTAAACTTAATCTCATTCTACATTATTTTATTATCTTTTGAGATGTTTGTTTCATTCCCTGTAAGAAGCAAACTCCTTGGTTGAATGAACATTTCTATATGTAGTAGGACTGACCATATCTGTTTCATTGTGGTTTTGACTGAAAGAGAACATGTCTGAGTCGTAGAGGCCGTTTTCAGTGAGCACGTCTAAAATGCTTCTGCTGCAGCCTCACTTCTCCCATGCCGGCTCCCTCTGGGAGAAGTCAAAGCCTTCAGGATGAAACAATAGAGAGAAAAAACAAACGAACACAAGCTGCTTACCTGACTGCGTGCAGTCAGCTGTGGTGCAGATTTCATCTGTAAGAGAACGTAAAACACATTTCCATTACTCGGTGGGTTTTTCAGCACTCAGTGGTGATTATACCTAAATCAGTTCCTTCTTCTGTATTTCTTTTTATTAATTACTTTGTTGCACACATGTAACGCAAAACTCCTCACAAATGTCACTTTCTTTCAGAAATGTGTCAATCAAGTGAAATTTGGATGCACTGTCACTCCAGCAGATTACAATTTGACCTTTAATGCAGCGCTCTGTGGGTTATATGAGTGAGCACACATAAAATGAACATAGTTGAGTGTAAACATGGCTACAAGCACAGCCAAGCCGCTCAGTGTTCATTTCCCTGACAAAGCAGCTTACACTATATTAAAGCACAAGACTCCAAAAATTAATAATAGTGGAGAATTTTCTACCCTGTCGTCCTGACCTCAGTGTTGGCTGCTAAGGTAAAAATTACTCAAAAAATGTCGGAGGTGATGACTTGAGTTCCACTACCTCTGCCATTATAAAACTGTTTGTCTGAGGTTTGCTCTAATCCCGCATGGGGGCAGAGGTGGCGTCATGTCAATCGGATGACCTTTTTTGTCAGGATTCTGCCATCATCACCTGTTGACCTTTATCAACTGTGTGATAACTGATACTCAAACCCTATTCAACTGCTTATTATACGCAGTTGTTAGATCATCATCCATTTTTCAAAATGACAAACATTCTCTAGGAAATATGCAGTTCCTAGAATCAAGCCTACATTTAGAAATTTGAGACATTGTTTTTGAATCAAAAAAACCTTTTTAAGGGGACGTTTGAAAACATATGCAAATTTTTCTTTTTCTTTTTTAATTCTGTCCCAGAGCACAGCGGATAAAAGCACACAAAACATATATAAGGAAAGGGCAACACTTGTGCATGATTCTTAATTGAAACACTCACTTGACTGAGTGGCAAACAAGATGAGGAGGACTACAATGACAATGACAAACAAAGAGACGATAGCAATGAGGCTGATTTCCAGAGAGGTCAAACGGGGCTTCTTTGCTGATTTTGGGGTATCGGTCTCTGTCATTGTCAGGTCTCCTCTGTCACCAGCCGGCTGTATCAACTCACCTAATAAGGGAAAAAAACATTAGTCAATTCATTAACAAAGCTGTTCCAGTCTCAGCTTCCTGTCACTCTTACTGAAAAAGGTCCTCTTTGCACCCAATTTCTCTAGAATCACTTGCCATCAGTTTCCAAACCTCCAGACCAGCATACAGACTTCAACAGAAGCTAAAAGGAAAGGCCTCAATGCCCCCGATAGACACTATGAGAACGTAGCTAAATGGCGAGGTCACCATCACTGTGGTAACCCACCACTTCGTGGAGTTGCTTTCATTGCCAAGCACTTCCATTTTCTTATAATACAGCTGACAGTTGACTCTGGAATATTTCAGTGAGGAAATTTCACAACTAGATTTGTTGTAAAGGTGGCATCCATTCACAGTTCCACTCTGGAATTCACTGACCAGTGTGACCCATTCATTCACAAATGTTTGCAAAAACAGTCTGCACGTCTCGGTGCTTAATTTTATACACCTGTAGCCATGGAAGTGATAGGAACATTTGATTCCGATAATTTGGATGGGTGAGCAAAAATACTTTTGGCAAAGGGAACAATGATGCAGAAAATCAGTCATTTTGTGGTCCCTCACTGACCAGAAAGCAAAGAGGAGGATGACTGGTGATTTCTCTTCCCTTACTGATAAGAATAAATAAATGCTACATTTTAAAGTATTTACTGACAAAATTACAATAGTGTTCAAAACAACCTATGTTTTTGCTTTACGGTGTAATAATTTATTGGCACACTTTACCTTGTTGTTGTCGTTAGAGCTTTCTTTGATTTCCAAATATATTAGTATGTGTGAGAGAATTTGTCAATGACAGGAATTAACTTAAAATAGTTGTAGATCAACGCTTTATGAAATTCGGTTAATTTACTTGTAGCTTAATGGCACGTGTATGTACGTCAAATTCAATATGGCGGACGCCATGGCGTATCGCAGCAACTGGCCGACCCGCTCATTGATTCGTCTATGTATTCATATCAACGATGCAATCTATTACAGAACAGTTCCTTAAAATACAGAAATAAATACAACTCTGATTTACTATTACTGTAAATTTAACATAGAAAATAAACACAAGCGAATAAATAAATAAATACATAAATATGAATCTCCTTTGTCAAAAATATTTTAAACTCAACAATGCAGAAAATCTGGAACCACTCTGAAGCTAACGTATTAAGTCGATAGCCTTGAGCTATGAATATGACTACTGCTAAATAATTTTAAAACAAAATAGTGAAAACAGACATTTCAAAAGACATCAGCAGCCAGACAACGCTGTAAGCAAAAAATTGCTTTATAGATTATTATTATTCATAATAAACAAACTAAAAATCTTGCCATGTGAAGTAAGCGTTTGCTAAAAGTATTTTCAACAGTTGTAGAATAAATATGACTAAAGTGGTAGGAAAAATATCGCTATGTGTAGATTAAAATGTTGGGTTGCAAAACAAACAAACAAAAAAACAAACAAAAGAAAGACGTGAAAAATTTACAGATTAGGTTCAGTTCACTTAGCACATTAAGGCCCATTAATAAAAAAATTTATTTTATTTTCTTTTACATTTTGAGGTCACTGTATGGTTGGTGTTCTAAAGTTACAAAAACTTTGTCAATAAAAACACTCTTACTTTTTCACTTGGCAGTTATTGATATCTTTTTATGTGTGGTTGCCTATCAATGGTAATAGTTTTAATTCTACTAAAGTGTATTCCTATTCTCGTCCACTTACATTTACGATAATTTAACTTGGTTTCATTATATGTCAAAGATTTTCCAACAGATATTTGGTTTGTGCAAATGCTACATTGAGTGGCTAAACAATGAAGCCTAATATCAGCTTTCTTTAAAAGTGGATTACTGTCCACATAAGATTATTTCTTACTACTTTACCCAACATGTCACTTCACTTTGAAATTTGGACAGTGACAAGGGACTTAAAGTTGCACTTCTGTCATTTGATCAAAATAAAAAGGTTAATCACAACTTAGTAAAGCAGTGAGCCATGTGATATTTAATTTGATGGGTTTTTTTCTCTCTTACCCGCCCCAGGAGATGCTTAGAGCTCATCCTTTGTGCCTTTTAGTCCCTTTATTAATTAAAAAGGATTTTTTTTTGTTGTTTGTTTGAATATGTTTAGAGAGGACATCTGATTTAAGAAACACCTTAAACTTGTTTGGTTAGGTCTTTTGGGATTGGAATTTAGAAAAACATAAACAGTACATGTGCCTTGGGCATGGTTGTGACTTACATGCACTTTCCAATAACAAGCCTACAAACCCTCTGTAGAGTTCACGGTTCCATCCCAACAACATAATCTTCTAATAGTTTGACTTGGAAACTTTCCTTCATAGTGGTTGCATCATAGTTTAATAATGACGACTAGAGACACTTTGTCTGTGCACAGCTGTCTTTCACTACAAAGTTGCTTTGTGATCTTTGTCAACTTGCTTCATGCTTCGGAAGCAAAAAGTCCGAACCATAACCTTCCTCGTTAACCTGGTCTCTGTTTGACACTAATGACAATAAACACACATAGTATACTTGAAAACAAGTACAAAATACGGTAAAAACATTGTCTGTTAGAATAGATTAAAATGTTTAGATACTTGCATAGCACATTTTTACTAGTATTACCTAGAATAAACTAAAGTTAATGTTAGACAACAAGTTTAAAGATAGTATAGCTCACCTTCGTATCCGTGAATGTATAACGAGGTGTATGTCTTAAAAACTTTCTCCAGCTTACGTGTTGGAGCTTCGGATCGATGTACATTATTAGCTATTAACTTGAACAAGCCCTGCGAGCACCGACTGTAAAACGGCATTTTCAATGGACCGGAAGCGACCGAGCCGCTTATTCCCGAACATAGAAGCTGATATGCAAAGAGCCCATTATCTCAAACCTTCTTTAAATTTATTGTTTCATTTCATTTTATCACCACCTACAGGTCAGGCGTAGTTACTGCAACATTCTGCGGCGTTCGTAGGAATGGAGACATTTTTGAAATATTATATTCCGAAGAGAGTTTTTGGAAACAACAAACTCAAAGCTTGTTCAGGCAAATTATTTGCTATCCCACATAACAAATTTGGTCTGGGCCAGATGTGGCCCACAGCAGCCTCTTACTGGCCCCACATGGCTGAATGAATTACATATTCCTAGCTCAAAGCTAACGGCTTTAGCCAGTAGGCTTGAACTTTGTAAATTATTAATCCTATTTTTTTTTTAAAGAGTCAAAACTGACATTTTAAAAACTACAGGCGTACACGTACACTAGCAGCCAAACAACACCGTAAGTGAAAACATTTAATTACTTAAAGTAACAAAAAACTAGGAGTTAGCTGAAAGTATTTTCAACGGTACAATAAGGGAAGTGTTTCAGGTGGCAGAAAAAATACAGCTATGTATAGATTAAAATGCTAAAAAAAAAAAGAAAAACAAACAGACCAAAAGAAGAGAGATGAAAAACTTACCGATTAAGCTCAGTTCAATCACACGAGCTCGTCACTATGGCGACGGAGCTGAAGAACGCAATTTGTTACGTACTTCACAAGGACCAGACGATACGGCGGTCATCTTCGAGCGGTCGTCCCTCCTACTTTGCTCAACCAAAATAGCAGAAGATGCCTCAGCACTGAGGGATATTGTTGTTCGGATCGATGGACTAATGACGTGAGGGCTCCACAAACAACATTTCACAAGTAAGATGGACATATTATTGTGTATATTTTGTGATTAGAATATTACTTTACTGTATTTATGTCCACCGGTGAGATACCAGCTAATATTAGCCACAGTGCTTGGTGTAATACGGGTTCAGCCCCGCTATGAAGGCTAACTGAGATTCTGTAAATCTAAAAAAATTTATTATTCTCTAACATTGACTTAGATTATCTGACACAAGGGCCTATATTAGAAATGAAACAATGTAACATATATTATAAAACTTATATTATGTGTTATAACATTCACCAGCAAACTTTACACAGGTGGTAAAGACTATTATTTATATGTAATTCTTTCACTCTGTCAAAAGTAAGATACATCCCAAATCTTCTGTTTTTGTTTTGAAGGTTTCCTAAAGACACGATGTGAGGAAGAAGAGGGAGATATCTATAAAGAGAGACGGATTCACTGCAGCACGGATGAATCTCGCATCGGATTTTGGACTCAATCTCAGCTGCTGAATCACTCTGAAGCTAGAACTCGTCGGCTGAAAAACATATACATATCTATATATATGTATGTACACACATACATACATATAAACATGTATTCAATATATATTATTCAGTATTAATCATTATTTATTTGTGTTTGTATAGTTATATAAATATGTATTGATATTACTTAATAATTTATTAAATAAATTATGAACAGCTGTGTGCTTTGTAATATGCTCATCATACATCAATATCAGAATATTCCATTCCTATTGTTATAGCCACTAAGCATATTTAAATATGCTGAAGTATGTATTAAAAACATACTTAAAAATACAGTTGTTTATAAATGTAGCTTTGATACATGTTTGAATAAGGTTTACAGTAACAAAAAAGCGCCTGTGCCTGCTAAACACGTAACGCTGAGTGGAGTGGTGTACCGC